AACATTGGCTCCAGGTAGGAAAGCCCAGGGTGGCGGGAAGAGGACAACCCAGGAGCCGGGCTCCCAGTGGCTCTCACCCAGCGGCACAAGCAGGAAGCGAAGGTAGTTGAGCCAGTCGGGTGTTTTGCTGGCCAGCTGCTCCACGAAGAAACGGAGGACAACGCTCAGGTAGCTCTGGTCCCCCGCCACCACCACCTTCACAGGGGGAGGCATGTGGGAGTTACAGTTACAGCTGCCAAAAGGAGAGAAAAGGAGATGGTGAGGGATGCACAGAGGCTCAGCAGGTGGGGCAGGGGATGTGCCCTGCCAGGCCACCCGACCCTGCATCAGAAACTAATGGCTGACAATTTCCAGCTTGCTGAGCACTGCCATGGGCACAACCACCACTGGGATTTCCCCCTCCCCTTTCCCCAGGGCCTCCACCTGCTTCTATAGTTGCGTCCACAATCCCAAAGGGTCCTAATGAGCCCTGGGGGAACCAGGGCCCTTCCCAGCCCTTCCCTGTAGTCACAGGGAGGCACCAGGCCAAGCCCAAGCTGTACTCACTATCGCTGGATGCGGGAAACAGTGGTGTTGAAGGCTGCCTGGATGTCCGCCACGGAGCAGGTGGATACAACCAACTGCTTGTGCGCCTGGAGCTGCTCACTCACGTACTGCCAATGCAGAGAGCTTGGGTTAAGGCACCCTGGGGAGGGAGCATGGCTGTGCCAGCCAGCACCAGCCCATGCCTGCCCTGGCCCCTGTGTCCCCTGGGATAGAGCTGGGGCCACTGTCCCCACCCATGACCTGCAGCGAGGTTGAAACCATCAGGTCACCCCTGGCTGCATGCCTGAGCATCCCTGCTCTTCCCAGCTCTGTTCCAGCACTCACCACCCTGCGATGGCAAGGGCAAAACTGTCCCACAAGCCAGGCTCTGCTCCTTGAGATAAAGCATTTGGTCCAGGCACCCTCTGATTCAAATCCTACCCTCCCACAGCAGGGCCCAGCTCTAGGCTCAGTCCCCCTCTGCTCATTCCCTTCTCTTGCTCTCTCCCACTGTGGCACTCTAAAATCCTTCTGTGCCTCTTCAGGTGTCTGCGTGCAGCTGAACAGGGGTAAAACAGGCAGTCGTGCTAGAGAAGGGGGCTTAGAAGATGCCATGACAGGGTCTGGGAATGGGCGTTGCTCCTTTTTTCTCTGTCAGGACAAGAGCTAGAGCAGGAACACACCAAGGATGTGCAGCTTGGGTCAAGATGCTACCACCTCTCACTAAGAAACCCTTTCTTCTGCCACAAACCCTGCCTTGATTTTTCAGCGCTGTTTCTGGATGTTTAGATGTAGCTGCAGGATGCCAAAAGGGTCTCGCCAGTGCTTTATATAATGGCTGTTTTCGCACGTTTGCACACACGTTCGTGGTCCTGCTCACCTTCAGCAGTCAACTCCTCCATGCATGGGGGAGACAGGTGCTCATCAGGGGCTGGGCCTGTCCTCACACGGACACGATGGTGATCAGCATGAGGCAGGAAGGCCTCACACACCTCCCTGCCCAGAGACCCCAGCTCTGACAATGCAGTTAATGCTCCCTGGGAGCAGTGTGCTATGCTCTCCCATCTCCAGAAATGGCTCCTCTGCTGCTTCCCAAGGCCTGGTGTCAGCAGAGAGGATCTGGCACCTCTGCCAGGGCACCCAACAAAGCTCTGACCACCAGTGTGGTCACTGGGAGCCAGGACCTAGCAGTGAGGGCACAAGGTACAGTCCCTTAACCAGCCTTTCTGGGACTGCTCAGGGTATCGTGCTTTGAGGATCACCAGCAATGCTGGTGTGTGGCACACGACAGAGGAGACACACCAGACTCTTGTGTACGTAGCTCAGTGCTATGCAAATGCACCGGTTCTCTGAAGGAAGGGTCACGTTGGTGGGAGAGGAGGGCACAGCTGGTGCCAGTTTCCCTAGGACACCCTGCAATGGCTGGGACAATCCCCTGGGACCCTGCTTAAAGCTCCCTCCATGCACTCAGCTCCTGTCACACCTACTCACCTGCCCCTGCCACTCGGCGACATTCACCAGCACAATGCTCTCGGGGAGCTGCTCGTCTGAGACCAGGATCTGGTTCAGCTGATCGTATACAGACTTTCGGGGCACCTATGATAGCATCATCACAAAATTTAACTCCAGCCAGCTGCCTTAGGCGCTCTACCCAAGGCTGAAGGCCTGGCAGGGCTCTTGAGTGAGAAGCCTCCAGGTGAGGTGGCTTCCAGAGCCTCACCTGGGTGCTGTGCCATGAGTCTGGAGAGCTCTCACTGTCCAGGCTACTTGCCCGACCACCCTGTCCCTTTGAGCTCTGTCGGTCCTTCACAGAGGTGCTGCGGGGACGCCACAACTGCTTGCTCTCCGCCTTGCTGTGAGTAAGAAGCAGGACAGGCAACATCGTTGAGAAAATCCCATTTCCACCAACTCCCATAAACCCCAGGGCGCCAGCGTGAGCCTCTCAGCCCTGGTATGGGGTGCAGACCTGCCTTACCTTGGGGACACAGCACTGGGGAGCTCGGCTTTGGTCCCGGGGCCCAGCTGGGCCAGCCTGTCCACACTGCCCTCCCTCGTGGCAGCCTCTGCGGGGGCCAGCCGTGAACATGGCTCCTCTGCAGCCAGCTCCTGAGGGCCACACACAGTCACTTTGCACACACCGCTCTCCCTGCCCTGCTCCCTGCACCCATGGGTGCCCCCATTCAGGATAGGCCTGGTGGCTCTGCTGGAGAGCCAAGGCTGCAGGGCCTCGAGGGGGCTGGGCTGCATCTCCTGCAGACCCTAACCCTTCTTCCACTCTTGCTGCTCTCCATCCCAATCTACTTGTTCCCCCAGCCCTGCTCCCAGGCTGGTGGGCACCCGTGGTACCCTAGAAAGGAAGGTGGGCACCTGAAGGAGTTCAAGCCCTGCTCCACATCCCATAACCTGGACTTACCACTGCAGGGACCTCCACTCTTGGCTCTTCCTGTGGTCGGAGAGCTCCTGGTTTCCGCTTGTCTGCCTCGCCCTGGGGGACAGGGAGTGGGGTCAGAGCAGGATGGAGCACCCTGAGCAGGGCAGCTGCCAGTGACCCACGCCTGGCCTCACAAAACACACGCTCCCACAGGGGAGCCCGGCATCCCCCTGGGACCAGCCCCAGAGGATGTCCCCATCGCTACCTGTCTGCCTGCGCTGGGAAAAAGAAGAGGAAAGAAGGGAAGTAGCAGCCCTAGGCAGGTGCTGCCAGGAGCTGCGGTCTCAAGAGGGAGCTGCAGGCACTGTGAGGATGCTGGGCTGGCTGGGGAGGGAAGGGGGCAAGAGGTGGTGGTGGTGGTGGTGTAACTCACAGGGCTGCCCGACTCTTGATCCTGCCCTTTCTGGCTGTGCAGACTGCCGATCTCAGTCTGGGAACCAGAATGAGAGACTCCCTCAAAGAAACGCCTGCAGAGAAACAGACAGACGAACAGACAGACAGACGGGAGAGAAAAAGGCAGGAATAAGAGAGGAACGAAGTCACCATGATCCCAGCACACCCATGCCGGCCTGTCCCAAGCACAGAGCACTGCGGAGATGTTCCCAGTGGGACACAGGGCCAGACACCTAAGTGTCTAGGGGCAGACGCGTCGGCAGACTGCCAGCCCCACACATGGTTGTCTACCGCAACAATGCTGGGTGCAGGGACAGGATGGGGCCACCCCTGACCAACAGGACTAAACCTGTGACTCCCGTGAGTTGGAGGTAGGGTCCCCGTCTCCTAAGCAGCAGCGATTTCTCTCTCTGGTGATCCTGTACCACGGCAGTGCAGGGTGAGGAACCACCACCTTGCCCCATCTCACTGGTATACAGTCTCTGTCAACACCACAACACCAAAGTGCTCCTGAACCTCTCTGCCCCCTCTGCACCACTACGGTTTCCACAGATTGCCGCTGTCTTCCCTTCCACTCCCCTTTTTCCAGGGAGGGCTCCTTGCCTCTGATGACTGCTGCTGCACACTTCCAGCAGCAGCTTCCACCTTCCCTTTCTGCTTTCCCTCTTCCCACAGCTCTGAAGACCACGGTATTGCACACAGAACCACATCTCAGGTAGCGCAGCAGCACAGCAATGTCCTGTTTTGCTCTCCAGCACTTAATTTTGCCTTTTTTTAGGTCTCTGAGCTGAGGTTTTGGTAGAGCCACACAGTGCAACTCCAAGGTCCTGTTCCCAAACGTTCAACACAGGAACTCCCTTGGGGCAGCAGGACAGCCTCCGCCACCACAGTGTGAGCTTCTCCTTTTTCCAGCCATTATTTATTTGCCAAGGACCCCCTCCACATCCCTGTGGGCTGCTCAAAGACCTGTCTTTAGGAAACGAGCAGGCTCTATCACTGGATCTCACCTGTCAGCTTTTCCAGGACCCTTGCAGCAACTGCAGCCCAGCTGCAATGTGTGACTTCCCTGCAGGAGATTTGAGCTACCTTCCCTCTAAGCTATTATCTCTGTTTTTTTTCTCACTAACTCCCAGGAAAAGTTTCCTCTGATTTGCCTGGTGTGCAGATGGGAATACCAGGTTGCAGGTTTCCAGGGATGGCCGCACAGGTGTAGGATATAGAGCACTTCTTCTGTTAGGACTCTGCCAGAGTTTCCATCGTCCTCCTCTGGATATATCTACAGCTTTCTGCAGGATACCTACAGACCTCTGAACAACCTGGCTGCTCCTTTTACTCTCCCTTTTGCCATGCTTCCTCACTTACATACAGCACGCTGTGCTGCCAGGCACAATAGTGTTTGTCAGGTTCTTTGTTTTTACTGCTCCTACAAGGATATTTCATCTCAGTAAACGATAGTCCCCACCATAGAGCAGCTCTTCAGCAGCAGTGTTTATACACTGGCTGGGAGAAGTCAAGGTTTGATTTTCACCTCACTGGCTCCATGACCAAGCTGCTTCATGACATGTTCATTTACTAAAGCTCCAGGTTTAGAGTCGGAATCGGGCCCTGGTGGGACATTTTCTCCAGGTCACACAGGGATAAATGATGCCTCCTGTTGTTAACATCTTTCTGCTCTCTCCAGCCCTCCAATCTCTGCTACAGGATCTCAGGCATTGTCACCACCCTGTACAGTCATTACTCCACACTTGCCTTTTATCAGACAGCAATTTCAATCCATATAGACTATGTTAATAACTTAAGAGTCTTACCAGAGAAATAGTAAGTTTTCTAACAATTCACCCCCCATTCGGCATCTCTCCCACACTCCTCTGTACTGTCCCAGTAATCCCACCAGAACGTGACATACCCCTGGTGCCACCGGCACCTCAAAAATGTATCTTCATCCTCATGGCTTTCAACACCCTATTTAAATGGGTCTGTCTCCTCCTTCCACATGGAAGCTTGTGTCCGTTTCTGCCCTCTCTCACTTGTAATTCAGAAGCTTTCATCCCTAGAGGATGTGTCACACTGAGCACAGAGCTCTTCTGCAATTCTCAGCTTTCCCTGTTCCTCAGTTTAAAGGCATGATTGAGTCTGAGTCTCAGCAGGTTGAGATTTAGGTAAATCCCAGCCCTTCTGCATAGCCTCCTTCTGTTTTCAATAAATTAGCCCACTCTCCTCCATTCATTTTCCCAGTTTCACCTCTGGAGATATTTGCTCCTTCACCTCTGATCTTCAATCAAGGGCTCTGACTGTTGAGGTCTTACCTAACTGCCTCCATTCTAGCTCCAGTTTTGCCCCAGTGCAGGAGCAGCCTATAGCTGCGTGGCCTCCCTGGCTGATCAAAAGGGTGGCTATCTGCTCCCAACACCACTGGCCCAATCCAGGGCACCGGCCACTGCTCACCTTTAAGGACTACCTTAACGTCCTTAATACCTTCACAGTGTCTAGCAAGGCTGCCTCTGACAATAAATAAATCCAACACGAGGATCGCATCTTGAATTTACAGGCTGGAAGGTCATCACCAGCAGAGAAAGCGATGCAGTGTCTCGGAATCACGCAGCCTACGCTAAAGACCTTGGCAGTCGGCTCCCACATCCCTTTTTCTAAAGTACAGACCCAGTAATGTGAATTCAAGGGGATGCACACTCGGCACTTCCAGAAACTGAGGCACTTGAGAGCAAACCAAGCTAGGGACATTTTGTGAACAGGCTGAAAAACAGCCCAGGGCCCTGCAGGCTGTCCTGCCAGAGACAGCAGCAAACACCCATGGCAGGCAGTAATGGCAGGTACAGGCACAAACCAGCACTTCCCCATGGATGCTCTCCCAGGGACCAGATGTTTCCAAGTAGGTACTTGCAGAACCAGGACAGGGGCTTATTTTTAAATACTCTCTATAGTCTTTTCTTACAGTCTCCATAGTTTTACATAGTTTACATACATAAACCGTTACCTGACCACAAAAAGACCTTCCTTTTTCCTCCACAGCATCTTTGTTTCCTTTGATGAGAGACCATGTGAAACTCCTTTTGGAGTCCAAGCAGGCCACCTAAGCAGCTCCCCCTTGCCCACACGCCTGCTGTCTCCCTCACAACAGTTTGTGGGTTTGTGGAAAACATGACTTCTGTCATGCTCCTGTTTCTTCCCCAGTGCCCCATGGATTCCTGAATCCAGCAGACTTAATTTCAAACACTTTGCCTGTGGCAGATTAAGTCTCCTACCCCTGCTAAATACCTTCAGCAGGGATTCCAAATAATGCAAATTATATTTAAATACCGAACTATAGAAAGTATAATGACAAGTAAACTTGGTTTGCCTAGAAGAGACCTAGCGCACTGTAAGGCAGCTAAGTAGAAACACGATAAAAGGCAACTTTCTCATAAAAGGACAGCACAGAAACAGAACAGCCATGAGCAGAGAGGCCGGATGAACACAGATCACGTGGGAGAAAAGCCTGGGTTCACTGCATGGTCCACTGGAGACCTCTGTGCCAAGTCAGCAGTGCTTGGCCGAGCAAGTCAAGCTACCCGGTGCCTGGGGAACAGGGCGAGGAACATCACTGATGGTTGCTAGTCACATGTCTCCACAAAGGGTGGGAACGCAGCTTGCAGGTCTCACAGGGACACAAGGACTGGCCCAAGCAGTCACAAAGTGCTCAAAAGACAGGCATGCTTCAGTGTGGAGAGCCCTGAGAAGGCCAGGACTGTCAGCAGAAAGACAGGAGAGCTGGGAACAGTGGGAGCTTAGATCAAGTAGGTACTTTTCCAGCAGATCAGTTAAGTGTCAGATGCTGGGCTGGCAGGAAATTAAATGAGACTAAATGTGAAGGACGCCAGTTTTAATGGGTAGTTTTGAGTTTATTAAAAAGGATATGAAAGTGAGGAGCTCAGTGGTGACAACAGAAGATGGTGATGGGAGCAGAGACAAGACAAGGCTTGCGTCAGCCCAAGCAATAGAAAAGTGTCAGAGGGCATTTCTCCAGGTGCCACAGACTGTGCTGTCAGCCTGTGACTCCCTGCAACCCTTACCTCAGGGTGGGCTTGGGTGTGCTGTGCACACTCTCATTGTCCTCAATCTCTGGGCCGCTGTCACTGTTGTTGCATTCTTCCAGGCTGTCATACAGCAAGCCAAGGTCTTCCTCCACCTCCTGGGTCTGGTCTACAGGGTCAGAGTCCAGGACCTGTGGAATCAAGCCCGGAAGGTAATGAAGAGAAACGGAGTCACCTGCATCCCAGGCCAGGCATGCACAAGCTCCCTCCCAGCCACTAGGCATGCTACGGCACTGTTTCCACCTCACGGAGTCAAATCCAGACTGTGGAAGAAGCAAGTCACACTGTCATTGTGCCAAGAGCATGGCACCTGAAGGAGTCTCAGACACCCATCATACTTACTGGGAGTTAAGATACCCGGGAGGACTTCCACCAGCTGTGCTGCACACTCAGTGCAGGCTCCCAGCTGAGCCAGCTATCCCCAGGTTTGATGTTAGCCTGCTCTCAGTCATGAACAGGATTGCCCCTGCAATGCCAGCTCCTGGGGTAGAGCCAGCGTATGACAGCACCCTTCCTCCCCTGGCGCTTCTCCCCACCAGGAAGGTGTTTTTGATTTGAGCGTGAGGCTCAGAGCTGCCTTCTTGAGGCAGAAGGCTTTGCAAAAGCCAAGGCCCAGCCTGTCATGTCTTGCACCACCTTTGGTAACATCCCTGAACACCTGTAGCTCATGCCTTGTGCTCCCAGTGAGTGGGAACCATCCCTCTGACATCTACACATTTGTAGGAGACACTGCCAGCTTCCTGCTGCTTACCTCCTCCGTCACTTTAAACCTCTTCAGCAAAGCCACAAATTTCTGCTTGAAGTTTGGTTGCTAAAACAAAACAAGGGAAGAAAAAAGATCAGCAAAACTATCAAACCATATTCCAAGATGACAGGCCATGGTTGCTCTCTTTAACATGCTGTCAACTCCTTTCTGGATCCACAGGCCCAAAGTCAGCTATGATCTCCCTTGCTTTTTAAATTTGCTGTAGGATTTGGACTAAATCTGGACTCTGCAAGAAGCCGCTGTATCTGGGCATGAGGGAGGGCGCAAGGACTCAGACTCTCTCTGCTACAGGCTGGAATAGCACTTTCTCTCCATTTAAATCCCCTTTCTCCCCAGACCATCTGGTTGAGGAATGCTGCCTTCCAGCAAGAAAAGATGAGGAACAGACTCAGGAAGAAGGTGTCCAGGGACCTGCAGGGCTGAAGCAGATGGGGACAAGGAGATTCTTGGAGAGCAGGGGGCTGGCAGGGCAGCTCCCCGCTTCTGCTGACAGGCAGAGGAGCTGCTAATGGTTCACCCTTCCTAGCGCCAACCTTCCCCTTCCTCAGGGAGGGAAAGAGGAGAGACCATGTCACAGCAGCAAGTCAAAATTGTGTTGCACACAGATCATCATTGATACAAAGCCAGGCTAAACACAGTACAGACCATCAGCTGGAGCACAGCTCTGAGCAGCAAGCTAACTCATTAATGGCAAGAGGTTTGCCCCTTCTTCTCAGAGTCAAGGGCTCTCTCCCCTGCTCTGCACCAGTGCCAGCATCCCCCGCCAAAACTGCCCTCACTCCCTGCAGGGAGGGGAGGAAGTGAATCCCTTCCATCCCTTTGATCACGTTGTAAATGCTGATGTTACTCTGGTCATTGATGTGGTTCGGATCATTTTCCTCCTAGCCTTCTTGGTTTTCCTCAAGTCATCCTCTTCGTCAAACAGATCCTGCAGGTAAAAGGTCACAGCACATCAGAGCAACTCAGAATGCAGGGAGAAGCATCTCCTAGAAGTTCCCCTGCCCCACGCTTCCCCCCCATTTTGAAAAGCTTTGGTTTACTATTCTCCCAGAGTCTTGCTTCTCACTTCTGCCACCTCTCTCTATGCAGCTCCTTCTCCCTCCTTACCACTGTCCCCCAACAGACCTTCTTCCCCAGCGCCTTTGCCCCCAGGCCCCTCCAGAGGGACATCCACCAGCAAGAACCCGAGAAGAGACAGCAGCTTTCTGCAACAGTCCTTGTTACAACATAAAACTCTTCTCTCTGCACTCACCAGCCTCCCCATGACCCATGTGTGGTTCTCCTGCTCTCCCCTCTCCAGGGTTAGCTCAGAGGGTGCAGCACCTGAGCTCACAAAAAGTGTTCTTCCAGGGATCGGCCTCAATAATACACAAAGCTCCTGGTGACATGGGGCCCTGATATCTTAACGCAGCACGATGGGACAGGTAATATGGAGGACTCTGAACAGGGGTCTGTCCCTGTGCTTGATCAGCATGCTACCACAAGTCTTTTTTGGCCTCGAGTGTAGGCACCACAACAAGACAGCAAACAGCAGTGGCACAGCTTGTCACAGGGTTGGGATGGGTCTGCAACCTCTGACCATTTTCAGACCCAGACTGTACTTCTTCCTAAAATCTCTGTTCTTTCTCAAAGAGAGGGCAGTCTCTGGCTTGTTATCACAGGGAGATGGGAGAGGATCATGATGCAAGATGGAGGGGGCTCAGCAGGGGTTTTATGCTGCAGACCAGAGAGCTCCAAGGACAGATGGGTGAGACCTATGGCTCTCCAAAGTCCCTTGCGCCACCACAGACTCGACAGCAACCCACAGTTCTTCCTGCTGTCAGGTACTGTGGCTCTCTGCCCTCTGAAACCACGACAAATGTTTACAAGGGAGATGAGAGTGTTCAGGGTGATCAAGACCCTTAACCCCTGACTCTTGCCCCAAAAATGGGACCAGGACATAAGCCACCTTGCCAGGTCTCCCTTACCTGACCCTGCACAGCATCATCGCTGGCTTCCTGCTCTGAGGAGAAGCTGTCATCCTCTTCTTCAGAGTAGTTATCAATGTCTGGGGAGCGATCTGAAAGCAGACAGTGCAGATGCCAGAACTAAGCATGACGCCTGTCATGGCTCCAGTGAAATGATTGGTACTGCTGGCAGGTGCTTGGGGACACACTCCATTAGCCACGTCCTGTCCCAAACGCTTGCCTTTAGGTCTGTGATGAGCACTAACACACCTGAAGCTTTGATTTTAGGACCTGAGGGGACGCTCCCATCCTCATGGTCAATGGGCTGACTGGACAAAGAATAGATGCTGATTTCAGCCACTCGGATGTTCATGTCCTTCATGTTGCTGTGGAGACCCAGAAGCTGCCCGCCGTCCGTCGGGTGCTGCATCACCTAGGCAGACAGACAAGTCCCCTGCCAGGGTGACACAACGGCAGCTGGTAGCCCACCCCCTCTGTCTTATAGCTAGCCAACAAGCCAGAGCACTCACAGCGCTGAGCGCCTGCCAGCCTGCCCAGTTCCCTTCCCAGCGCTGGCACAGGGAGGCCATGCGAAGCTCCCCTCTGTTCCCAGCACCCTGTACCTCGGCCATGTTAATGATGCCCACTGCAAGGGTCTTGTAGCCCAGGATCGTGCGGTTCTTGTATCTCTTCCTCCGCTGCAGCATGATCTGTAGTTTGTTGCCATCTCTCTTGAGGAAGTGTGGGTACTGGGGAAGGGCAGCACAGGGAAGATGGCAGCATGAGGGCAAGGCTCAGCATGACACACAGGTAGAAAATTCTTCCTCAGTGCTGATGTACAGCAGGATCTGACCTGCTGAGCTTTAAGGTGCCCCTCAAAGGTCACCTGCACTCTGCATCATCCTCCAAATCCCCACGCCCAGCAAAAAGAAACCTGGAGCAATGGAGCATTTGTGCTGTTATGATCTAAGCATGGGCAACTGCAGGAAGCCCCTCCTCAGAGGCTTCCCCCTTCACACTGAGCCCCCAAAGCCATGCTTGTCAAGAAATGCCGGGTGACGGGAGCACCAGGAGCCCAGAGGACCAGGCAACACTGGGTACCTGCAGTGAGAAGGTCAGCTCCAGCTCGGTCTCCATCAGGCCGCCAGGCGGGAGGACGTATTCATTTGATCTCAGGACTCGCTTTGAACCCTACAAGAAGATTGGTAGATGCACACAGCTATGCTGGAGCATCTTGGTCACAGATTCCACTGCACCACACATACACGCACAAGTCAATGGTGTTCACAATCCACCAGGAAAGAGCCAGTGCCTTGACTTTGTTCTGTCCCACCTCGTAGAGCCATCTTACACACACCAATCAACGCTTTGCAAAAGCCTGCACTTTCTCCTGAGCTGCCGAAGGCTCCTTCCCCTTGCCCACCTGCCAGGGAGCATTTGGCTCTTCCCAAGCCTGCTCTGCTTAATCCATCTCCTTGTACCTGAAGCCCACCAGACACTGTGGAGGAGGACACTGCTAGAGCCAGACGGAACCATGCATAGAGCACCAGCAAGGAAAGGAAAGGGTCCCCACACACTGCCCAGTCAGGAAAGTGACAGATCCTGGAGCACATCTCTGCCCCGCAGCAGACAGACCCAGTGCAGACCCCTGGCCCAAGCACAGCTGGCAGGATGGATGACCAAGGCAGGATGTCCCCGGGAAAGAGGGGTCCCCCCGCTTGCCCAGCTTGTGTCTCAGAAAACTACTTCTAGTCTTTTCCTCGGGCAAATGTCCTCATCTTTCCACATGTACAAATGGATTTTTGCCCCAGGAGGGCAGTAAGACAGACATTCTAACCACATACTCACTCCAACTCTTTCCTTTGCTTCTGTCCTATCTTTACTATCTCTACGGCTTGGCTGCTGAAAGAGACACTGAACAGCTTGGGGGATGAAAAATGCTGCCTGCGTGCACCAGGCCCTCTCGGTCATAGGGTGGCACAACTCACAGACCCCCCCTAAAAGGCCCATGCCCACTGGCTGTATCCCCACAGGGCTGCGGGACCAGGTCCAAGTATAAAATAGCCCATGGTGGTTCCTCATTCTCTCGTGCCTCCCTGTGAATGGGCCAGCAAGGGGAGACATTGATTTAGGGAGGCCACAGGACAGGCCAGTACAGCTGACCCTGCAAATCAGTTACTGCTTTTGTGAGCAGTCCTTTAATTTAAACAGTGGGCTAGTGAGCAGATGGGTCAAAGCTAACCAAATAGGCACAGCCATCCAAAGGAACCAGGTCCCACCTCATATATGTTGCCCCTTTTCAAGACCTCATTGCATCCCCACACCCTTCCCAGCCTGATCCTGACAGATGCCATGGCCAGAGACCCTTCAGCAACTAGATTTGGCTAAGGTTAGGCGAGGTTAGAGCCTTGGTGAGCCCCCAGCTCTTCATCCCTGCTGCAAATGGGACAGCAGCCCTAGAAGTCATGACAGGAGCATGCAGGCAGCACCGTAAAGAAGACCACAGCTACATCCTCTCTGCAATCAGAGAACAGCAACAGGCACAGGCATGTTTCAGCACCCAGCAAGCACCGAGGAAGGCGGCTGATGGGAACTTCAGCAGTGTCCAGCAAGCCTGGGTGGCACTGATATAAGGCCTTTCCTGCACCTCCATTGCTGGTGCTACCCATGCTACCAAGGAAAAAAGCCAAACAACGTACAGAGAGGAGGCAAGAAAGGCCTCCATGTTTTTGCAGCAATGCAGCGTTACAGTTCTCACCGATACCTGAGCAACGACAAGCTCTAGCAAGACTCAAATTGGTTTTCAAAAGGCCCAGTCTGAGCTGTTTGCAACATTGCTCCTGGCAACCATGCCACAAGTGAGGATTTCCTGTGAAAGGTCTTCCTAAAAATGAAGCGAAAACTTCACCATTTATGAGCTTTCCTGGCCAAGCATGCACTGACTCTTTCTTCCTGAACTCTTTTTTAATAAGAGATGATAGGTGGTCACTATAAGAGTGACCATTTACTTTAGCACATTTACCATTTGCTGTTTGTTGCCGAGAGATTATCCACCAACACTTTGTTCTTTCATCAAAACACATATACTGGTGCAATTATTCTTCTTTATGATGCTATTTCTGGAGACAGTTACAGCAAAGGAAAGGTGACGACAGCCTGGGTGGCACATCCAGTAAGCATTGCCATCCTGTGTGTTACTGTCATTTACCACGATGGAAGGTACACATTCAGCTCCAGTCCTAGGCTCTGGCCCTCAGCGAAACGCCGGTGCACATCCACGTGGCATTGCAAGGACTAGGACAAAGGCTAGCTCGTTATCACAACACAAGCAGAAGGGAGCAGCAGCTGCGCTCAGAGACCCCTAAACAGCAGCACTTCTTAGGTCTGGACCAGTTCTTTATGGGTGCAATCACCTGGCAGGCTGCAACCTGGCTGAGCTCAAGTCCTAGGAGATACCTGGCCTGTGGAGTCACATGAAGGGAGATTATAATGTCTAAGCTCAGCCAGAGGATCAGCTCCCGGGGCACCATGGAGCATAGCACACAGGGGCAGAAAAAGAGCTAGGCATTGCACTGCAAATGCGTGAGGTACAGTCCTCTCAGCAAGGTAAAGCCACTACCTAAAGCTCAAGGTCGACCTGGAAGGTACGCTAGGTTACATGAAATGGATGGCATTCACATATTCAGTAGGAAACACTGACCATCTTCAGAAGCAAACCACGACCCAGCAGAAACTAGTGTTGTTCCAATTAAACAGATTAGAAACTACTTGCCCGTCAGCAACAGGGACTTCAGAACAATTGGGGATTTCTAGTAAGGTCACCACAAACCTCATGAGGTTCAATAAAGGCAAAAGCAAAGTCCCTCCCTAGGACATCCCATGACTTTCCTGCCTGGGAAGAACCCCAGGCAGCAGGACAGGCTTTGTAGACAGGGACAGGGAGGATCCTGCAGGACATCAAGTTACCTCTACATCGGCAGCATGCCCTCTTGCGCCAATCTCAGCCTCAGCAAACATGCAGGCAAAGAAAGGGATTCCTCCCCTCCGTTCAGCACTGGTGATACCACAACTGGATTCCAGAGCCAGTTTGAGCTCCCCAGTACAAGATAGACAGTGACAGACTGGAGCAAGTCCAGCAGAAGACATCAGGCTGGTCAGGGGCTGGAGCACAGGACATACAAGGAGAGGCCAAGTAAGCTGTGTTTGTTCAGCTGGAAAAAGAGAGGGTGAAGGGGTACTTTACCGGGGTATTTTATTTTCTGTGAGTGCAGTCAAACCTTGGGACAGGACACAGAAAGAAGACTGAGGATTCTCCATCCCTTGAGAAATTCAAACCTCAACTGGACATGGCCTTGAACACCTGATGCAGCTCAGCTGTTTTGCAATTCAAATAATGTCAGACACAATCAATTTCTCAGCAGAACAGCTGAGTATCACCATCAGTACTACAGGAAAACTTAACATCAGGTTGTTACAGTAAAGATCACAGACAACAAAGACCATCAAGGAAGTGAAAAGCAATAGGGAGAGGTTGTGGTCACCGACCTCCACTACCTGAAAACATAGAGGAGCTTTCACTACTATAAACAGGCACACGATGATGCCCATGTCTGGTACGCAAGGTACAATCCCCAAATTCAGGTATAAATCTGTCCTGATGGGTCTTGTTTAAAACAGAAGGTTGAGGCTAGAAGACCATACCAAACCTGAAAAAGGAAAGCGAGCTAACATAGTATGGGAGACCAGGCCAAGGCAGACAGCAAAGCACTACCCAGAATTCAAGCTAAAGGTGCATCTGGGGAGAGAGCAGCCTATTAAATATCATCAGCAAATTTAGTTATTTAGGGGATAGCTGGGATTGCTCAGGCAGGAGTGGAAAATCCTACAAGTGGTTGCAAAAAGATTAGAAACAACACATGAGTGAGGTGTAAACAGAAAACTCTGCATGTACCTTCCATGCATAGCAAGAAGGAGCAAAAAAATCCCAAGTTGCTGCAGGGAGCAGGGCTGGGACAGCAGGCAGGCCTGGCAGAGGCGAACGAACTTCTCAGCCTGGTCTATTTTGTAGCACACATTCTGGTCTGATATGTAGGGGCTGCCAGTATCATCCCTCTACAGCAGCACCAAAGGTTGAACCTGAGTCACCGGCCACATCCTGCAAGCAGCTGCAGGAGAATCTGCATCCCTCCACAGCATCTGTCACGGGAGCTGAAAGTTCTGGGAGTGCTGGGCCTTGTTTTCTTCTTTCTTTGATTGTTTCCTCTATTCACAACTCAAGACTGTGTGTTTCTGAATATAGTAAGTCTCTCTGCCGAGAGGGAGCACTACGTTTCCCTTCACACCATAATCAGTTACAACGTCAAGACAGATATCTGCACCTTTACGGAGCTGAGCCAGGCACATCTGAATCTCTTAATGCCATGCTGAACAATACACAGAAGGAAATGCTCTATGACATCTCCAGTCTGTTAAAACAAATAACAGGGGCCAAAGGTTTAAAAACCACTCAAGCGATATGACAGTAAGTCCCCTTTTTCACCGTAATTCAGACTTTAGCTCACCGGAAGCCAGTGAACATTAAATATTCAAATCACCTCTAGGAAATGCGTATGTTCTGTAGACATAGAAAGCTCTCTTAGTCCTTTGACAGCAATCTTCTTAGATGAAGGAGCAGATCACAGCACATGCCACACTTGGAAGCTGTCTTTTAAGACCAGAAGGGCACGATCACTGCGAGGAGATCAGATATTCTAGACAGGCTTACACTATCCTTTGGGTCACGTACTTTCATTGAGAAGGCTGTCTCCAGCGCTGGGGCTGTTGTCTTGGTGCCAGCTCCACTCAGGCAGGGTCAGAGCTGCCTTTCAGAGCAGCAACTTCCAGACAGGCAATTTCCTTAACCCAACAGAGCTACTACTGAAATGAGAGAAAATATAGCTCCCCTTTCCACTAACCCCCAGCTGCCCCCTTGGGAACTTGCAGGTCCTCCACAATTTACATGCATCAGCTGTTTCCATCCAAAAGATGGAGATGGCAACGCTCGCTGGGCAGCCTTCAAACAGCTTCTTGCAAGCATGACTCATCTGTTACCTAGGAGAGGAGCAGGAGGGATGGATTCATCTGAGGCCATTCTGTAGGCAGGCTGCGCTGAAGCTGCCTACAGCTTCCATCTGCCTTCCAGGAAGGCTCAGCAGCCCCCGACCCTGCCAAGGCGGCTGGTCAGGCAGGTGCAAGCAGCCTGGGGAGGTACAAAAATCCACCCCACTCCCACAATAAGTGTCAAGCCATAGGGTAATGTGGGTAGAAGCATTCTCCTCCAGTTTCCTTTAGCTTTGCAGAGAGCCTACACCAGCATGCAGCCATGGGTATGCGGCCACACAGAGAGGTGACTGTGTTTAAATTAAGACCCTGAATGCAGCCTCTGTTCCCTGGCAGGGAAAGAAGCCCTGCAGTGAAGAGTCCCTGTGGCCTCAAACAGTCATGGCTGAGGCCTCTTAATTTCTTTTGCCAACGGGGTGCAAGGTTGGCATGTGGCAGGGACGGGGACAATCCATTGGAAAGAGCTAGAGTCCCACTGTGCAGCCTCTTCCACAGTCTCACATTTGCAGTGCATGAGAGAGGGGGCAGCTGAGGACATACATGCTCAGCACATGGCAGCTCCAGCGTAAGGAGGGGCTGCATGGGAGCCCAAGGTTCCCCAAGTCCAGAGAAGCACAGAGAGCTTGGGCCAACAGTGCAGAAGAGAAAAGGAGTGAGGGACCAGCCTAGCCCTCCCAGCCTCGTGGGACCCACAGCCCCCAGTCGGCTCCCGGCCTCTCAGTCCTGTGCTGCTGGCACCTCTGGCCCAGCCTGGATCGCTCCCACATTTCCAGGGGCTGGGCGTCTCTCTCCCGCCCAGGTTGTTCCCTTGCTAAAGCCTGCACCAAAGGGGCACAGGTCTCGGGAGTCAAAGCCCAGTGCTTTCAGCTCTCCTGCATGACACCATACACACGGTGACGGAAAGGCTGGCAAAGTGGGACAGTGTGTGGACCACAGCATCCTCCTGCTGTCCTCCCTCCAGGCCCTGGCTTTCACACATTTCGCTTGCAGTTCCTTCTATGCAAGCAAATCAGGTCTGCCATGAAGGCAAACCCTGGGTCCCAGAGCTCCTCTAATACCGCAGCTTCCAGCACTAATCCAGGATTTAGATCCTAATGTGTGCGGCACAAAGAGCTCTGTGGGAGTGCAAAGCTGCTGAGCTCCCGCCCCACAGTGCTTTCAATGGGATCAGCAGCTTTTCTGCCAGCTGACAAGAGCGAACGAAGGACATCAGCATCCTAGCTGGGTTAGGGGAGCTGTGGCAAGGACAGCATATTCAAGAGACATCTTGCTTCCATGCTGTCCCTTGGCAGGTGGAAAGGATGTGCCTGCACACACAGGGACCCATCTCTTCACCACCAGCTGCAGAGAGGAAGTGGGGAGGATCACACATACCAGGATAGTGGCAAATTCCCTCTCCTCTTGGTGACAAAGATCCTCTCCCTTCCCCTCTGCCTGGTTCAGAGTAGAGGCACCAGGCCTGGTGGGATGCACAGAGAAAGGGAGGGGACAGCAGAGGCAGCAGTGAGATCACACAGAGTGCAAATGTCAGCAGAAGTCACACACAGAGCCGCTGATCCCTTCCACATTTCCCTTCCCACCCTTCACTCCCCAGGCAGGGGATCCGGATGGAGGGTACTGCCAGAAAACATCCAGCCCTGAGCTTGTTAAAAGGGTCAGGAACAGTGGGGTAGGGGATGCCAAATTCTGAAGGGCAGCTTGAGAGCAGAGCCTTGGCTGAGGCAGGCAGGGAAGCAAGATGCACTCTGTCCCAGCACAGAGGACTAACTAAATTCATACCTGATACAAACCAGCACCAGGCAGCTCGCTGCTGTCCCTGGGGCATCATTCCCACCTGCCAGAGAACCAAAATCTTCCCAGAGGCGCTAACCAAGACAGAAGCAAGGGGTTGACACAAGGCAAGGGACATGCAGACCACCACTTCACAGAGGGCACAAGGATGGGCTTGCTACCAGCAGCAAGAAGAGGAGCCTACCTGAATCTTCACAGCAATAAGCACGGAGCTCAGCTCTTTGTCCAGCTCTTTCAGCACCGTGAGTTTCTTCAGGCGCAGACTGCAGAGCCTGTAAGACAGAGAGAATGGGACACATTCAGGCACCACCATCCCTGGGGCCCAGCCACATGGTACCCGGTGCTCAGAAGGCAGCCTGGATGCTTGGCCCGGTTGCAGGCACAAGCTTGGCCGAGGAATACTGGCATTCACGTGCCACCGAGACAGTCCATTGGGGAAAAAAGGAAAGAAGAAAAATTAACAGAGCTAAAGCAGGCTTAAGGGATTAGCATGCGACAGGAAGTCCAACAGCAGGCCATGTGGTAAAGAGATCCCTTCCCAAGTAGGGCTGTTGCCAGCTCTGCTTAAATCTACCTTGGCCACAGCGCTGTTTATTTATAAACCAAAGCACTTAAATCCACTCTTATCCTGGACTTAGTTAAGGCAAATGTTCCCATGCAGACATCACAACTCAGCTCTTCTCTTGCACAGTATCACACAGAGCTGACTTGGGAAGCTGGGAGGCAGCAGCCCTGCAGGAAACCTCATACAGCAAAGCCATCCTGACAACCGCAAATCCTGGGGACTCAGCATGGTAAGTGGCACTTCCAGGAAAACTCACGAAGGAGTCCGGAGGTTGAGCGAGAAGAGCCACTTTTGCTGCTCGCAGGATTAGTCGGTGCGTGCGAGACAGCCAGCCACCCCAACCTCCCGCCTAGGAACCTGCAGCACGACTCCCACGGAGACTACTTGTGAGGAACTATGTGTCCGGCAGCACAGGCCAGGCACATTTTTACAAGCAACACCGGCACTCTCACGTTTTGCAAGCTAGCCTCTGTGTTCCACGCTCAATGCCTGCATTGTTGCAGCCAGTGGTACTCAGGACTTTTGTGGGTACCAGTGTGCCATACCTGAGATTTAGGCCACCCTTCCTGGAGAACAGATGGGCTACTATCAAATACCTTTGTCTGACACGCTGTGCTCTGAGGGCCAAATCTATTCCTCCTGTTTTTTCTTTTTTTTTAAAAGAAGGAAAAAAAACCCTGATCTTGCTATGCTAACATAAAGCAACAGTGTAGAACAGCTCAGAGGTAGAACGATACTGGAAAGGGAAGGACAGCCAGCCATAGTGCAGGACAGGTTTAGGGCTTAGCAAGCACTCACCTCCTACCATGTCCCTGCCCTCCCTGCTACAATTATTTTAGCTTGTGCAGAAGGTTTGCTGGGCTGTGACTGCAACCCTGCTGCTCTGTCCTTTGCGTTTGGATAGCAGGGCATGGTGGAGACCAGAAATCAGGAAGGTGGGAGTGGAGGAAAGCTCTGCCCGTCTCTTTGCCAGATGGCCTGGATTCCTTCAGCCAAAGCCCAGGACTACAGCCCCCTAAGCCCTTGTACCCTGTGCACCCCAGCACTGCAACTGGTGATCCCATCTCTACCCACCCGTCCCGTCTGAGCCTCTGCTTGTAGGAAGGGAGCAGGGCAGGATTGAGTGCTAGTCAGCAAGATGGGGTCCAGCAACTACACCAGATGTACTAACGAAAAGCTTGCAACAGGCTAAGCTTAGCCAACATCAGCACTAACCAGTGCTAACTTTGACTGTCCCTACTCCCTAGACAAGCCAGAGAGGAATGAGGCTTGAATGTGTAAGACAAGGACAGAACAGCTCCTCAAATTTTCCATACAGCACTGATGTAGTCACCATAGTTACCTGCACGGAAAAGTTATCCCCAAATAATTAAAACTTCTGTAGGGATATCCAGTCTTAATTTGAGGATATTGAAAGATTAGAATTCTACCTGGCAGTTGTTCTCGCTGTAAAAACACACTCCTTATCGAAACTAATCCGCTCATTAGCTCTTAATGTTTCTCTCTGAGGCACTCGGGAGTCCCGTCAGTATTTTTCCTCAGGGAAGAGTACATGCATAATGATCAGCTCTGCCCACTTGGGCCGCTCTTTTATCTCTGATAAGGCACTTTAAAGAGTCTATTTTCTCTTTCTACCCCTCTCCAGTTTTCAAGATCTCTTTTACACAGCAGGAGACCCTGTACTCTGTCCCTGGTCCTTCCCGTGTCTCGCAGGAAGATGGTTACCCAATTCCACCTCGCTCTTCCCCTCCTGCAGCACTAGAAGATCTCACAAGCTCAGGTATAGCTTGTACCCTGCAACTCCAACCCCTTCTCAAAACAGGGCTTTTTAAAATACCACTAACTTTCCCACAGAGATTAGCATGCATGTTCTGCAGTTTAAATGTACTTATTTGCAGCCCAAGAGCCCACAATTTTTAAAAGAGTGCTCCCTGGCAGCTTGGTTGTCCCTCATGACTCTCTTTTGATCTGTTACTTAACCAATCCCTGCATCACCCAGATTTGTGTTGCCAGTAGGTGTTTAGCACCCTTACTGGACAGCAGTGGGGCTCGCACTAATCCCTGCAGATCTCTATAGGACAGGATCAATCAGAACGGTATGAATACTTCAGCCAAATCCCACGGCAACTACTCCATGGTCTTGCCTGGAACTGATCACTGAGTGATCCCCCCAAGTCACTGAACTTTTTGGTAGATAAGTTATAAATCTTGGTCTACTCACTCATATAATTAAACAGAATAAGCAGCAACTGCTCTTGAGCTGTGGAACTACTGCAAGGATTTCCTCTATATGGAGTTGTGGTGAACATGACTCTGTAACACACTGATAGCAACAGTGACTGACAGCAACAAGGAAAATGAGCTCCAACAGGACAGTCTGACAGCCTCCTGGAACTCCAGTACTCCTACACTCCACTACTGGTCATTTATGGGTGAGAGGTACTCACTATTTCCCGGTATTATCTTCAAAAATGCTGCCTTCTTCCCATCACTAACTGGGATGGTCAGTCAGCTAAAAATCCCCTTTCCTGATCACAGCTTTTTAAACGTGCAACAAAATAAAGCAGCTCCTACTTTTCACGCATTCCACTCTACCTCCTTATTCAACGTGGTACCAAGCAGGAGCACACACTCCACCACCGCTGCTGGCTGAGGAAGTAACAAACAGGAGTAACTGTACACGTCCGCACATTCACACACTCATCACTGTCACCACCCCCAGCTAAGATGATGGCAAGGAAAAGCAGCACATGCACATATACACAAACACATGCATCCCGACAGTACCACCCCCAGCTAAGGAGCACATGCATGAGTGCATTGACACACGTGCCCACAGACACACGTGCACAGAGACACACGCTCTCACTCACCTTAGCTAAGCAAGCACTGACTTTTGACGTTGGGATTCTGAACGGCAAGTAATTACATCAAAATAAGAGCAGTGGGTGGAGGTGGGGGGGGGTGGGCAGGCGGAGAGAGGAAAAAGAGAAAGGAACAAACCCAGGAACTCATGGAGTTAACTGTCTGATAGCATTAAAACCTCAAAGGTGACATTTTCTAGAGTATGTTCTTGGAGACTGAAGTCATACTTTGAAAACACCTGAAATTATCATTCTAGGCACCTTTTTTTCCTTGGTCTTTTTTTCTGCTCCAGGTTGCAGCTTCCCAGCTGTTTCCTTCCTCTCTAGCTAAATGATGAATTTGGAGTTTTTGCTCTGAAGTCTGGTGAGACACTTGTAACGATGTCACCAACCTGGCCTGTGAGTTCATTTTGAAAAGCAAAGTAACACACGCATTTTGTGAAACTCAGTGCCAGCAGCAAAGCACCAGCTCTAACTGTTGTTTGCAAATTCATCCAACCTCCTGTCCCAAGAGACGACTGCTGCTCAGAGATGACACCCACAGTGACTGATTCTACTGTTGCATTTCAAGGCCAATGTCACGGTGAATGCCACACATCTCTCAGACTCCTGACTCCAGGGCAATATACAAACCAGAGGTACAGTTCCTAAGGCTGGGAGAGAGGGAAAGAAAATGGGATGAAAATACATCTGTGCAGAGTACAGGAGGAGCAGGTTAGAGCTTGTGCTTTGCCCGTAAGCCTGAGAGTAACTCATAAGGAAGGGAAACAATTTTGACCTACCTATGGCCTCAGCAAAAAGATTTGGGGGTACACCGTACATGGTAGGGGAGGAGCAGCTTTAGAAGCACCCTGCAAAACTGGAGTTGCACAACTACCCAAAACTTATCCACAAACTGGCAAAGGTGCCTGGCAGAGAAGTAACTTGAGCTCTGTGCAAACAAGGAACCTCAGGCATCTCTTTTTGCAGAGGAGATAGGCATCACGGAGGCAGAGGTGCTGAGGAGCACTTCTACTGCGCTCATACATGTAAGGTGAAGGCTAGCATGTAAAGCGAGGCAGCAACGAGGGCTCTTTGAATGGTACATCTGGCCACTAACGGGACACAAAACCGTAACAGTAGTTCTCGCACTCCTTTTGAGCAGGCGGGGTACATTTTTTCCTGCTGGCACCCTGGGCTGTTCAGTGCTTGGCTTACTGACCACTGGTGAGCGGCAGCTCATTCTCCAGGCAGGATTATTTTCTGAACACTTGCACTGATTTCAAGTGGCAGCAGCCAGGCTCCCTGGGTTTTCCCAGTAGCTCCCATGCCACCTACAAATGTTAAAGTACATCCACCTTTCCCAGGACTGACCATCCACCCATCCTTGTCAACACTACCACCCTTATTAGATGCACAGTCGTGGGCTAAGCCTTCAAGGGGAGCAGTTCAGCAGCTCCTCAGTATTTTTCCTGACTTGGACAGTTCAGGTTTGCCTTTCAAGGCAACATCCACCTCTGAGACTGGGCCTCTGGAGAGATGCCAGATGTTCAGTGAGGCTCACAAGGTATGGGACACTCCCGCACCCCTGCTCAATTGCTGTGCAGCCCCTATTTCCCACAAAGCTTCCCACTAGAGAGCACAAACCAGCCAGCCAGGACCAGACACCCTGGGGTGATAGGCATGCCCTGCAGCTCACCCAGTGGCCTTGGCTAGTCTCAAAGAGCAGTTTGTAAAAACAGCTTTATCTCCTCTGATCAGAGGGGTGTCCAGCCCTACAGCTCACCTCTGATAGTGGCCAAAGCAGGGGCCAAGGGAAGAGCGCACAAATGGGGTGCAAGTAGTGAGATATTGCCTGGAACGT